TATCTTATATACCTGCAAGGACAGGGGAAGTAAAGAGGCATATCTGCAGTGCTGGATGTAACTTTATTTCCACTGTCCTTCACAATCCCATTTCCTGTGGCCTTCAGAACCTTGTCCGGTGCTGATGCCATAAATCTGTGTCCTCTTGGACACTCGTATTCCACTCCAACAAATATTTTCACCACAAATTCTTTACCACCCTTGGATTTCCTACCGCGTATTGTGTTCATGTTCTGGAAATTTTTTCCTCTTGGACAGTAACCATGATCACCTATAGTGGGCCACAGGGAACCTCTCTCTTTCTGATGTTCTAATCTGTTGAAGAATTAGTTTGTAAAAATTAAATACCCAATTCAGTGGTAGGAAAATGTTTTATTCAAAGTTTGATTACCTTACAGTTACATCCCATGGTAAAAGAAAAGCAGAAGTAGGTAAAACGCCAGCTTGATGTTGTAATCCTAAGTTGTGAGAGTATAGGCTACTTGGTCCAAGGCAAACTAGAGACCAGCTGGAAAATTGTGGTAACAAGCCAGCTGGTGACTCTGTGTGCAACATTCCTGGTAGATATTCTGTTGTTGATGGCTGCCTAACTAAGGACTTCTCTGTAGAATTAGAGTACATTAATGTTAAATTTGCAATATAGAATTTTTTTAACAAATATTTACCCTTCGAATTTTCTGCATCACTATCAGACACTTCTATGACAACCTTGTGCGCATCACTTGGTGTTAGGCTAGTTTTACTGCTCAGCTTAGGAGCATCTTCATTAGTCTCGCTAGTTTGTTCTGATTGACCACCACTTCCATATGGTGTGCGAATATCATCTGAAAAAATGCACTGTAACTACAAGTAACCATAAATAATAAAATACAAATACCATTTAGAGTGTTAACTCCAAGGCTGCAAGCTTGTGTGTTTCCCTGAGGTGTAGGAGACTCTCCATGACTGAATGAATCCTTTCGCTTAGTAGAAAACAGCTGTGCTGGTCTGTGAAAAGTACAAACTATTATTCTCAAAATCCAGAAAACAATTTTCTTTAAATTTTACCTATAGTTATGAGTACTTGGCTGGAAAACAGGAAACTGTGTGCTCTCCAACTGAGCACAGCCACATTGTTTGGCCAGCATTTGAAAATAGTCGTAGTTGGCCTGCCTTAAACTAAAGGGGTCCTCCCTGGAACCTTGACAACGACCACAATTACAGGCACAAATATATCGAACTCCACTGCAGTGCTCTCTAATTGGCAAATCACTGTGAAGTGGAATAACCTTACATTAGAGTTACATAATATGCAGTATGATGTGATAAATCTGTTTCCAAGCGACACTTACTTATCCCCGTCCCTTTGCTCCGCCTGTTCCCCACCGCCAGCACCCTCACTTCCGCCTCTGTGTATGGGGTTTGTGCAGGGATTGCCTGTCAGAGACAGTACTTCGCACATTTGCCTCCCAGACCGCCAGTGCTTCTCACATTCAGCTTGTAACTTCTCACTGAACTCCTCAAACAGAGGACCCCTTGCGTGCATCTCAAAAACTGCCATAGCGTGAGCCAATTTTGTCTCGTGATAAGCTCTAATAAAAAATCAAATAGTCATTTTAAGTAAATTTTCTTTAAAAAGATCTTGAACAATTTCTGACGTAGATATGTGAGCCTGTACCTTGTATAGTGTTGAGGAAGATTCTCCTGATAGGTCTGAAGGGCTCTTGGGAGCACTTTACTACATCTACTTTTGCTGAACTTCACATCTGTGTCCAGTAAGCTGTGCAAGGTTAACAGTTCCTTATCTGTTCCATGTATGAAGTAGTCATATACTTTATTTGCTACATCACAAAATATTGCAATACTGGGTATCTGATGGAAAAGAAGAAATAAAGTTATTAGACTATGTTTTGTATGTATTAGATTATAATTTTTGAATTCAGAAGTCAAACCTCGAAATAGGCAGGCACAGTATGCCTTCCAACATTATCATCAAAGCCCCTTGCAAAAGCTAGGTTTATATGCTGTTGTAGGAATAATCTGAAGGAACGAGTCTCTGTAAATATATAAAAAAAAATGTTATTTTAATAAATTGATTTTGATTTAATGATTTATTTACCTGTTTCTGAATCATCTATTTGAATATTGGAGTCTTGGCTGGCCAAACTTCTGGAGGTACTACCTCCAGAACTAACTTTGCAACTTTGTATAAGTTTCCTAGCCATGTAACCCAAAATATCTCTAGATTCAGTTGTACCAGTATGTACATAGACAAACTCTTGGTTTGCAGGAATTGCAAATAAGGAATTGGAACTGAAAATTCCCCCATGTATTAAAAATTGAACATTTTTGTAGTTAAATATTTGTGTACCTAATGTTAGTCACTATACGGTTCTTTCTTAAAACTTGATAAATCTGATCTTCCAAAGAATGCTCCAGCTTCTTGATGTTAGCTCCACTAGCGGGGTCTTGAAATACTGCAGGACAAGTTTCAAAATAAAATAAAACTCTTGGAGAGCAGGGTCTGACATTGGACACCCAGTCTTTGGGCAAACTGTAAATGCAACTCAGAACATCTGACAGTTGTGGTGAAATTTTCTGCCTGAAAACAATATTTATAAAATCATAGAACAATTCTAGTTAAATACACTTTTCTAAAGAAAGATGAATTCATACCTGACAATGTCCATGGCTCTGAATAAGTGTACATAACTGTAGTCAAATGTGTGAGTTGAATGAGTGAGGACAATCACATGTGATATGTGAAACAGAACAAGTAGGGCTCTAGCATATTTATCTCTCATATGAGCCCACACACTGAGAAAATCTTTGCAGTCCTGGTTTTCTAAGAACTTGTCATATTCTGCCATTAGGGTATGTGTATCTAGGAGTCCTCTTAAATGTAAATATATAGTCCTATCTTTTGAATCATAGTATCCTTCGATCTCACACTATAGATAACATAGTAAATGTTATTATTAAAACACATTATTTTGAAATTTTTAATGTAAGTTCAAAAAACTTTTTACAAATGATTCTTTGTCCACTTCTGGTTCATCCAGGAGGCCCACTTGCAGGATGGAACTGAGCATATTGGTTTTGCATCCTTTTGCACGATACTGTGATTTCCCAAATACAGATACGATCACTACTTTTTTGTCTGTGTGCACAAAACTAAAACAGTTCAATTAAATATCATTTTTGTTTTGAAAAGGGGATTATATCCATTATTATTATTAGCATTGCTTTTTTGAATTTATGAATAAAATTATTTTCGAAATAAACACATTTTTTACGCATTAAAGGGGAGGAATTTTGTTTCAATTACCTCTCTGCGCTGCATGGCAACCGAAATTTTTGTGGTCGCATTATATATATATTTAAATGAGAAAGAGGTTATGTCATCGTACGTTATACGAATTAAGTAACACAATTCGTTGCACTTCAGTATGTTTACAGCAGAGTGCAAGTGCAAGTGCATCTCCTGTCAATATTCAAAACTGAAACAAAATTACCTAAATCTTAATCTTTTTGTTTGCACAATTTCTAAAAAAAATATATATTATTAAAATTACCGTGTGTTATTAGCTCATTAGAATTTTTCATAGTTGCTATGGTTACAGGAAGTTAAAGAATTACACAACTATCGAGGTTTGATTATCGTTAATTAATCATTATTAAATAATTTGCGTCACTAGGACTTTTTATTTACGAGATTTCTAGTTATATATTCGTCTATGCAAGGGTTAGAGTGTCAGGCTTTATTATCGATTCAAGAAGTAGGGGGCGGACTTCATTTTATTCGATTGTTCATTACTTCATCGCTTTACAGATTGTGGAATTATATTTACATGACAATTATACGAGTACGATATTTATTTGCTAAGGAAAAAGTAACAGTTCCACCAACAAGTATTAATTTGATGCTATCGTAGAGGGTTGTCAGATTTTTTTTCCAATTATGGTATTAACGAAGGAATACCGCATATGCATGCCGCTTACCACAGAAGAGGTACTTCATTTTTGAATTTTTTAGTGTTAATCGTCACTATACTTTTCAATGAATACTTCTCCTATAAGCAATCAATACAAAGTTTCACTGGAATACATTTTTTTGTACTTCATCAGTTAACTTTTTTTTCTATTATGCAATATTAACTTAAAAAATTAAAGATGATAATTTGATTTAGATGATTTGTGAATTAAAGGATTATAATCATTGGCAATTTATTTGTAGTATCGTATAGGACAACTTTATATGATTGCTAGACATAGTCATGAGCAATCGGATAATGATGAGGGTGTTGAAGTGGTTGAAAATGTAGAATGTGATCATCCGGATCATGGAAAGGGCCAGTACACAGAGAAAAGAATTCATTTGTCTAGGTGATAATCCTGATACCATGTGTTTCATACATTTGGGTTCTTAAGGAGGTTGATTTTTTTAATCTGTGTGTTATATTGCAGTAAATTACCTTATTGGATTCAGTCTGTTATTCCAAGAATATTCTATGTCACAGAGAAGGCATGGAACTATTATCCTTTTACCATCACAGGTATATTAAAGTATAGTTAATATACCATTAAATAGAATTCATAAAAGTCTGTTGTATACAAGCTGCTATAAGCAAGCTACATTCTAATTTAATAATATTCCAATTTTTGTTTGCATGTTATTTTTGGTCACTGAAGTGTACACTGTAAGTATCAATGTCTTAGATCCTATTGTGATTTCCTTTTACATAAAATTTCATTTTACAGTGTTCCTTTATTCCAAAATTTCACATAACCATAAAAACCAGATATGAAGATAACAATGGATCCACAGAAAACGTATGTAAATTAGTGTGTGCTTTATGCATTAACAGGACTAGTGTTCTGTTACTCATATTATATTTCAAATAGTGCTTAGGTCTGTCTCCTATTGAATTGATTCATCGTGAAGTTGACTTTGTAGACATTGCATATGATGAACTTCCTACAAAGCATTACAAAGCAAGAGAGGTAATATATGTCATTGCACTTGTTTTGTACAGTCAGTTGCATGTTGATATGCTTAAATACTTTGATTATAGGACCCAAAATTTTTTCAATCTAAACGAACCGGTCGTGGGCCGTTGGTAGAGGGATGGAGGGATACAATGCACCCAATAATGTGTTCCTACAAACTAGTTCACGCCTCTTTTGAGGTTTGGGGTATGCAAACTCGAGTGGAAGACTTCATTCATAGAGTAATTATCCTTCTGCACGACATTTTGGTGTTTAAATCACATATTTTGCAATTAGTGAGTTCATACTTTTATACCTACAGTGTGTAAAAGATATTTTAATACTCGGTCATCGTCAAGCGTTTGCATGGATCGATGAGTGGTATGATATGACATTGGAAGATGTTCGAGAATATGAACATAGGATGCAAGCAGAGACTAACGAGAAAGTGCGACTCAGAAATTCGAACAATGAGATGCCGACCACACCAACCTCACCAGTACCAAAATCTCCCACACAGAGTCGATCATGATTCTCTTGGTCATCGCCGCTGTTCTAGAGGAATTAGGTTAGCTGGTAGCCTCATCTAGGGAACGTAATTAAAAATTGTGCAAATAAACAACGGTGATTTCGATTCTGCGTGTATATATGTGCGTATCCACATTAGGATCAGATGTCTGATCTCAAAGCTCCAACAGTGGATAAAGGCTTTATATTTCTTTTACAAATCATTTTATGTAAGGTTGTTGCTGTATTGAATATTTTTTTTATAGATTATACAAACTGTGTTAGAACAAGTTTTGAGCTAGCTGAAAGCAGTATTTGGAAGAATACACCAATTATTTGCACCATGATCATTATTAGTTCTATATTGGTTCTAATAGCTATTTTTGAGATTACACATTTAAGATCATTGTTTCCCAGTACTTTGATTGTATGCAAAATGTAGGAACAAAATCAGTGTGAATGTAATATAATGTTAACAAGACTCGGAGACCTAGTTAGGGAAAGGCGTACTCTATTTTCATGTATGAAAACTATTGTAAAAACCAGTGATAGCATTTAGCATAAGAATTGTTAAATATTATAAGAGATACTGTGACTATGTGTGTGTGTGTGCGCGCGCGCGCGCGCGCGTGTGTGTAATCAGGCACTACTGAATTGTGTTTTCTTTTTTCTTTTGGTAATGAAGCTTTGTATTAATAGGTAGTTAATGTATTTTTTTAATTGGGAAGCAGGTTGTACATACAGAGTTAATCGAAACTAGAGCATAAATTTTTATTGTTGCAGTCTTTAATAAAAGCAAAAGTACCTGTCTTTAATTTTACTTAAAATATTTGAACCTTTTTTTTCCGTTTTTAGTAGATCATTTGTGTATTGTCTAACAATTTCTGGGGACCAAGAGTACGTTAAAACGATACCAAAACAAAGCACAAAAAAATTTGCACATTGCTCACTTGTAACTCTGGGATAAACCTGAAAGATTACGATTTCTATACACACTTTCGTGCCGTTGGAAAGGATCATTGTTCAAAATCTTACTGTTAATTTCTCAAAGTTCCTGGCACGTTTATAATTGTGTTCCACTCACTGTGAAGTATTTGATTGCTTCTTTACTGTATGTATCTGTATTTAAATAAACATTTCAAGTCATTCTTTTCATAAAAATGTTTTATTGTTTAGTTTGCAAACTTGCAACTAGCTAGTTAATTCAATATTGAATTCCTAGTGCAATAGTATCCTGCTGGAGGGAAAAGCTTGGTGAATAAATAGCATCACTGTATGCTTAGAGTTTGCCTTACAAAGGACTAAATAAACCCATTGAATTCTTCATTTTCATTCATGTTTAAGATATTTTGTGTTAGCAGGATGTATGATAACATTTAATTCATACACTAATCCTTAACTCCACAAGTACCATTTTCATTCAAAAAATCCTTGCACCAAGGATTGCAAAGTGAGATGATGCTTGCAAAGTTTCTCAAGTCAGACATATTGGTTGGAATGAAATATTACCTAGACTAAGGGTAATCAGAGCATCTCCAGAAGAAGTTCTAAACTTTTAATTGTCTTCAAAGACGGTACGAAATTAATAAACTTTAATCTACGTATAAAACTGCTCGACCTACTTATAATACCCCTCTCCATTTGGTCGTTCATTGAATTTATCGAGCAGTACGAATACGGAATCAGGATAGCATGTGAAAGAAAAAGAGACGAAAAGTGGGTGAAAACCGTAGCAGTCAGATAACCCATCTCCTTTCCATGTCTGGTCTACGCGCTGGTGACGTGAACGCGAATAATTGATAGAATTGCCGATAACAATGCCATCGTTCTGTCCTGCATTTTTTATTTGTCACAGTTTTTCTCTTCTGTGTTATACACTACTATTCAAAAGTCTGGTATCGAGAATTGCAGGCATATTTTTGTCCCTCAATATTGAATTGTTCTGGGCTTTGATTTTTGTTCCTCTTTTCCTTTATGGTTATTTGTTTTTGTTCTTAAGAAATTTTTCTTTTGGGAAATTTTTCTTTTGGGAAATTTCTCTTTTTATCTCCCCTTTTAGGAATTTCTAGCTTTAGGTATTTTCTACTTTAAATGTGCTCTCTTTTTGTAATTTCTAAGTCTTAAGGTGTTTCTTCCTTAATTATTATTCTGTTCAGGTAGTTCTTTGGTAGAAATATTTGCCTTTAATTTCTTCTCTCATCAGGTACTCCTTTTTTAAGAATTCCCCTCTTTAAAGTGGGAATCCTCTTTTTAGATGCTTCATTGCTTAAATATTCCCCTGTTTATGTATCCTTTTTTTTTTAAGTTCTTTTAATAAGCTTTTTTTAAATTTCTTCTTTTCTAAATTCCTTTTAAAGAATGCTCCTCTTTAATCATTTCACCTCTTTAATTATTCTTCTCTTTAGGTACACCTCACCGTAAGCATCTTCCCCTTTATTCCCTGCTACTGATGTTGTGAGTATGTACTTCCCAACTACTTCACCTCTTTAGGTACTTCCCTTTCTGATTGCCTGTTTTCATTGGTCACTATCCGCTTTTACTACTCCCCACCACTCTGTTCTAATCTCTCTCCACTCTCTCTCCACTTTGTTCCTTCTCTCCTTTTTGCTCACTTTCTTATTCATTTGTTTCTCTTATTCTCCTTCCAACTGGTTCCCTCCATCTTTTCCAAACAATTTCATAACATTTCCAATCTTATTATTTACAACAATTATTTCTTCTGTAAAAAATTCCAAATGATTCTCTTTTTTTTTATATCTTAAAGAATTATTGTTAGAAATAAGCTCAGTTGGTTACATTATCGATCGAAATATTACTACCTGTTGCTAGAGACGCGATTGAACCAACTACCTAATCTATTGTCGCGAAATAGGTGATTCGAGACTTTTGAGCGGCGTTGTATTGAAAGGATCACGGATGTCCTGTTCTTATTTTCCACGAATTTCATTGTAACTTCATCTCGTTCGACAGAAATTGCTTCCTGGAAAAAGATCAATAAAACCAATCATCTTCCATATATATATATATATTCGCTGTCATTTGTTTATTATTTTTATTTCTTTCTATTACTTGCAAAAATAACGACCTTCTGAAACATTTTGTTCTTCTATTTTTCGTTTCGTCATAATAAAGTTTATTTCGACGTTTTATAGAGGATCGGTGATTGTTTTCTTTTTACTTGCGGGTAGTTGGAAATGATACACCGACGAACCTCAGGTAATTTGATATTCTAAAATGGCAATTCAATCATCGAATAAATCTCCAGCATGGACATTTATTTTTATTTCAAAGCCGATTTTCTTCTTTATTTTATATTTTGTTTTAGGCACTCTTCACAAAGTTTCGCCTGTTTCGAAGACAGAGAATTACGATTCTGGTGTTTATCATAAATAGGTGTGTATATTTATTCAACTGAAGTTTATATAAATTATAGATTATTAAAATGGTGAAATAAATTTTAAGTATGTTTCACTGAAGATTCCAGGATTCATAATTTCATATTATAGAAACTTATTAAGTATTGTACATAGTAAGGTAAAGGTATCAGTAGTTGATCAGTTTTTAGAGAAACGTAAAAAATTAGGTTTTTATAAGCGATACTCTTTTGAAAAAAATGCACCTGACATGCCAAGACATCTATCGGTTAAATTTCAAAAGAATTACATGTGACGAGAAGTATGCGTAGTAACAACGGACGTCTAAATTCATTATGGTAAGTAATATGCCTCTATATTGTTATTTCCTTAACGTTTCTGTTAAGACAGCTGTACGGTTCAGGTAAACAAATCCATACGTTGTGAACTCTTCGTGACTGAATTATTTACTTTTTAAATTCTTACAGCGTTTTATAAGTGATAAATGCAACATTTTTGTTATTCTAACCACAAAAAGCAATAGTTTATTAGGGGGTCAAATTCTGAATTTTGTTATTATAATAGTTTTTAAATGTTAACAGACGTGGTCAATTACTGACGTGAGTTATTTAAATTTGTTTACGATTTATAATGTATCCATTTTGCATTTAACTTTGTTAGAAGTACAAAATATAGTTCTAAATTTTGAATGACCGCATGGTCAACTATTGACTGATCCACGGTCAATTATTGACTCCGTCCAGTGTCCACTTTTTTAAAATAACCATGTGCGTGATATTATAAACACCACCGGAAAATTAAAATGCATTTACTTAATTATTTATTTTAGAAATTTATTTATTTATTTAAAAAAATTTTTTTTTATTTATTTTTATTTTTATTTCATCCATGGAAATGTACGGGCGATTATGGAATTGAATTGTTTTATTTCTACTTTCCATTCTAATTATAACTTGTGCTGGTAATTGTTGAAAAAATGATTGTCAACATTATTGCTTTAACCCTCCTTCTAGTATAAGTGGTCAACTACTAACGAACAGAGGGTCAATTACTAGTTTTTTCATTTTTAAGAGTGGTCAACTTCTGAAGCAATTACTGAATTTTTAAATATGTTTTTAAAATTTTTATAACATAACTTTTTTTTAAAATTGATCTTGTTACATAATCTAGAAGGCTTAAAGAGTATCTTCAGGCATCGACTTTCGCTATTTAATGACAGAGCAAGTGGTCACTATTGTTCGTGTGGAGGATTTCTCTTAACACTTTGCCGGCCGCTGTCACGCTGCCGTGACTTTTTCTCGCCAACGGTTATCGGCCGCTGTCACGTACGCGTGACTTCGGTTCAACGCAACTACGATGTTTCCACTATGCTTCTGTTTTAACTGTCCCGATTGTCTTTTCTTGACATTCTTTTTGTTCTGTTAGTTTCAGATAGTCTTTCGCAGTCTTCGCATCTTGAAAGCTTAGATTCACTGTTATAAAATACCCTTCAAAATGTCACGCAATGAAGAAATATATGCCGATGAGTTATCAGACGTGTACAATGATACCGATAGCAAAAGTGATAGCGATTCGGATAGTGCGAGCGATATCGTTGTGAGAAGATTTATAAATAACGGAAGACCAATAATCAGTGACTCCGATAGTGACGAAGAGAGTACTTTACCAAATGATTGGTCAGAAATTGATTTTGAACCTGACCTCCATAGGTGTCTGGAAGAGTCTGGATT